TTGGCCGTCGATGTCCAAGGACGTACACAGCTATGTCCAAGGCTGCCTCATCTGTGCCCAGTTTCAACCCTCCCAGCCGCTTGCTAGAGCACCACTGCAACGCAGGGGAATAACCTTCCCTTGGTCCCACCTGCAGATCGACTGGGTTGGACCGGTTCCCAAATCGGCAAGAGGAAACAAATATATGCTAACTGTAACTTGCAGTTTCACAAAGTGGGTGGAATGCCTTCCAGCGCCAAACGATACAGCCGTCACAACCGCTGTACTGCTGATTAACCACGTTTTTAGTCGATGGGGACTTCCACTCTGCATTGACTCTGACCGAGGAACTCATTTCACATCCAGTGTAATGACGTCCCTGTTTGAACTTTTGGGAGTGGAAGTGAGATTCCACCTCCCCTATCACCCACAGTCATCCGGACAGGTCGAACGGATGAACCGCACGGTCGTCTCTATGCTCAAAAAGTACGTCTGCTCCACTGGGAAGGACTGGGACGTCAAGCTCCCTCTGGTCCTGATGGCCATACGGTCCACTCCACAGCGATCCACTGGGGTTACGCCCTTTGAGATGATGACCGGCAGACTGATGACTCTACCACTGCACCTCCTGTATCACCCAGAGGATGTCAGTGTTGCCACTGCCTATACCGCCCATCAGTATGTGGCAGACTTGAAAACACACCTCAGAGCTACGTTCGCGCACGCTCAGAAGAAACTGGAGACCAACGTAGAAGGCGCTAAAGCCTACTACGACCAAAAGACAACCAGCCGCGAATACGAGGTGGGTGACAAAGTATTCTACTTTCGGTTCGCCCAACCGGCACGCAAAGCTAAGAAGTTCCTGCCCTGCTGGTCAGGACCATTTGAGATCGTGGCAAAACTCTCTCCAGTTGCATACAGGTTACGCATCACCAAAGCGAGACAGGAGCCTGTCTACAAATGGGTGCATGCAAACCAAATCAAACCCTACGTCAAACCATCCCCGCGGGTACAGAGACCAGACTCCCCGCAGGAGGTAGACGTAGTCTCGACATAGTTCTATGCATGGAAATGGAAAGGGGGGGAAGTGCACGTTTAACCCACTAACATGTACTAACCGACAAAGAACCAAGCCCCCCCCCCCGCCGTCATTTTCACTAACCAAGAGAAACTCCTTCCTAGACCGCTAACAGGATGTACCTACTAAAACCTTACAGAGTACTCTGGTACCTACACTAGGCTCTGATTAATGAATCTCTACGTGCAATCAAGACTTTGTCTGAAACCATACCTCAGGATATTGTGTACACACGAGTGGTGAGAGATTTGATGTAGGACCTGCTCAGGGAAGTAAGTTCCACGCTGGACAGCTTGGTTGAAAGTCGTATTTCCCCGTACTTGGTACCACTGGACCTGCTCAAAGTTAGCTTGACAGCTGCTACCCCTCTACTGTGCACCTTTCACAAATCCACCTAGCGTACAGCCTAGGTAGTGCAATTCCCATTCACGTTGATGCAGAAAATTAGAACTCGGTTTCCTGTTACATGTTCCCATAATTGTGACACCTCACATCTATAGGTTTAAGTCGATGCTGAACTTTGGTATTTGAAAGGACGGTAGGCATTTCCACTTTGAACTAGAAACCTGGCACTCCATCACCTCAACCTCGAACAGCATGACTCAGAGATTGAGATCATGGACGCTTTCCAGGGTTATAACTTTGCCTTCGATTTAGAAATTGACCAACAATTACTGATTGAAGGAACCAAATTTGTTAAGTTCACACAAACCCGCGTGAACTTACTTTGACGCCCATGAATAGATACCCAAGACGCTACATTGACACAGATTATACCACCTTAATCTGCACATTGGTCGCCCTGGGGATGGGATGGCTCATCACGGCCGTGATAGCTTATTCCGCCTACAGGCGTGTTAAGAAACTCCAAGATAAGATGCACTTGCTCACCTACGGTGTGCCTCGTGACCGCGTTCGGGTAGACTCCAAGCGCGAATGTACCACACCTGTCTAAAGGGGGTGAGCAACATTTTCTTTGTTATTCTGTAACCCTAAGAGTAGTTCTCACTTTAGTCTACCTCACATTTTTTATCTGAGTGTTGCATTATGTCACATTCTTTATAAGCTACACACTGAATGTATGACCTAAGAATGTATTTTATGAGACCTCAAGGTTGCTATGAATTTTCTTGGGTGTTATATGTTTTTTTTTTTTTGGGGGGGGTTTTCTGTATTTTTGTTTCGTACTTGGTCACATATTAACTAGTGGTTATGTGCCGGCCCAGCTCAGTCTGTCAATGACTCTGTCTGACGCACCAGCACATTGTAGTACCTCTTAGTTTTATGGTCCTTGTTTTAGCCCAAAGACTGTCCTGATCCACCCTTTGGACCAAAAAGGGGGGAATCTTGGGACCACATAGGTCAATGCGCGTTTGCGAACTATGGACCTCGTACATCACCGCGTGCTCCATAAACTGAACTGTATGGCCGGCGGTGAGATGCCTTTGTGTCCCCTCGTGGAGTTAACCGCCCACCGACCTTCCTCCTTCTACACTACTACCTCTCGCATGGACGACATCATCATTGCGTACCACTTGCGTGAGTGGCTTCTTCTCGTTATGCGCGTTGGGGACTATCCCGTTTCCTATCCTCTTTGTGCCTGACCAGGATCAAAGACCAAAGGCGCCAGGATCCAAGACAAAGACCAAAGACAAAGGCGTCCAAGGAGACCAACGTCCTAAGGGACAAACCCACCTGTGCTTCCGACAATCAAGTCGACCTACGTTCATGAGGAACAAACCCATCTGTGCTTCCGACGATCGAGCTTTGGGCGCGATCCCCGAAACCAAAAGGGGGAATGTTGAGGGTCTGACCTCATGAGGAAATTACTATGCAGTGATTTTCTCCAAAATGACTGTGCTTAAATTGCTCTGAAAAGCAAATAATCACATCAGCGCCAAGAAACTTCATTTCCCATGATGCTTTGCACACGGAAGCATTGTGATGACGCCACCGCCTAGTACCAGAAACACGTTCTGCGCATGTGCGGGAAGCCGTGGAGCTTTTCCCGCGAACTAAGACCATAAATCTTCAGCAGAGACAAAGAATCCTCGTTCTTTTTGCCCAGGATACCTGGCGGTAAGGACACGCTTGTCAACGCTCCGACAACTTGAGCACGCGGAAGCTCTAAGTGCCAAGTTGAGCCCACGGAACTGCTGGAAACTAAACTGCAAGCCCATCAGATCTGCTCGTTTCTGCTCCCCTCCAGCTGATGTTTGAGGACACAGAACTGCGGAGGAAAGCAACAACTCCATCAAGCACGCTGTAAGTTATAACTCAGCACAGAAAGAAACTTTGCTGTCTCTGTCCAGCCCGTGGAGAAACACTCGTGAACGCCAAACAACGGAGAAAGCATCAAACCGACGGACGACGCCGAAAGCTGCGGAGAAACACGGAGAACCGTCGAATCAAAGAGGGAGGGACGCCTCGCTCTTCTGGTGATCAGCAACTCATCTCTTTCTCTCTCTCCTTCTTCTTCCGTTAACTCTATAGTCCAGAATAAGCAATAAAACCGCGCTATTGCTTAAAAAGTAGCTTCGTGTTTTCCTCTTTCGTCCCAAACACGTCCGTCGGGTCATTTTGAAAGAATAAACTGCTTATTGATCATTGTTTGGTATCTTAAAATGGTTTCTGTCATGGCCAGGCTGAAACTAAAAGATATTAATTTGTGATTAATCTTTTGTGTTGTTTCATGATCTTTTGAAATGTTTTGAGTGATTTAAGGTTAAGTTACTACTGATTCTAAGTGCTTTGGAAGTTAAAGTGCAAGTTGCCACCCACACTTTAGCCAGACAAAGGGGTCAGCCATCTTGTATTCAAGACTCCATTTTGAATCCATACACACGCACACACACACACACACACACACACACACACACACACACACTACTCCTTTGTGAGAACAAAGGACCCCATTCATACATCCTCCATCACATGCAAACACATCCATCTTCAATCATATCACACGGTTATTATTCATCTATTCCACTGTTTATTCATTTGACAAATTGTTAATTAAATGTTATAAAATTCAGATTTTTGTGTCCAGTAGCTTTGTTGTGTCGAAGAGAAGTCTCTGCTCCGAGGATTCTACGAACTTCAAGAAAGACTGATAAGAGTTTTGGATTCATTTCCCTTTCTAATTAAAGGGTGGTGCCCCGAAGATATCTAAGAATATCTTAATTAATTAATAAATCAGTAAATAGTTCCATATTTACAGAATTTATTGAAGAATCCAAAAGTAAGTTAAAGCTTACGAATTGTTCGCTCCTAATAACCCCAACATAAGTCATACTCTGGGGAAAGCCCAGATGCACCTGTTTCAGCACAGAGAAGTCAGCCAGAGGAGAAAGAAGCTTCAGAGGACAGGATTTGAGGTCTTACTTCCTGATAATTGGATATCTCTCTTCTGATTGGCTAATAGCAACACAGCTCTACTGCTGACTCCATTTGCTTTGCATTGTTAATGTTTTATCTCCACAAATAACAGAAATTCTGCTGTGTGGTGGAGTTGCTAATGCTAACGGTTAGCGTCTTCAAATCGAGATGTTTCCTTAACGCAAAACCAACAACAGCCTTCCTTGCCATGAGCCAGGATGGGTGAGTCCGTGAATGTTATGTGAAATTTTGATGGAGATGTCAAGATTTTCTAATCTTAGAGTTTCACCATCTGTTTTCTATCCGAAGCTAATGCAGGAGATAGGTGTAGGAGACTATTTTCATGTTCAGCCTTCGTGAAAATTTCAGGGTGACCGATCATTTTAGTAAAATGTGTTTTTTCACTGAAGTACCTCTTTTAAAAAATAAATAATTTCACTAAATAAAATTCATTAAAATAAATATATGTGTGATTTCTCTCCATGTGTGATGGACCGGCCACCTGGGTGGTCCTCCCACCAGGTAAAGGCATTAAATCAAGAAGGTAAATAAAATCCAGACTTTCTTTGGGTTTTACTAGTTTGAAAATACCATGTTTAATAAAAGCTTTCAAATCAACAAAGAAAGAACATTTATATATGGGAACAAACATTAAAGCTTTGATCTGCTAAAACAATCAGTTCAAACACAAATTAACCCTTTGGTTTAGTTTCATTGACACATTTCAGTCATCTTACGTAAGAAAGTGTGTCCATTTAAGTCTTTTTGTAAATTGCAGTTGGAATAAACCATCAACAGATGACTCAGACATAATACAAATAGTAAAATCAAATTATTTTACTTTCTCATTCTTGAAGTTGGTTTCAGTTTGATAATTTGACATTTAGACAGAGTAGAGGGGGTGTGTTGGCATGTGGGATGTAATCCTGAGTCAGTAGTCTGAGGCGGAGATCACCATGAACCCCTCCTGGAACTGGTTGCAGTTTGGATCCCCTCGGACTTTCGGACTCTCTGGTATTTGGACTCCAGTGAAGGGGTTGACACACCAACACTCGCCGCGCTGGCCATGGGTCGACATGTTGCACTGGAAGTAAAGGAGGGAAACATAAACTGGATAAATAGGAAAACACTGGGGGGTGTTAGGACTCCCAGTGGGAGGCAGGGGTGGGTTAATGAAGCATAGCATTCAGATGTGTCTGAGTGAGTGAGGGGATCTTCTGGAAGCAGGGAGGGGGGATATTGGCTAAGAGGAAGGGCTCTGGTTTGGGTGGGGCGACAGCCACCCAATGACAAGGCTCTCTCAGGTCATGCCCCTTACACACAACCCAAAACCCATCCACAAACACACGTTACTGCAGACAAACACACACGGGCATGCCAGTGGGCTGGCCCCCTGTGGAGACCCCCCCCATTCCTAAACGAGGTCGTAACTGAAGCGGACACAGTTTTATGCCGTGCACACGGGGCGGCCGATTAGGGGTTGGGGAAAAGAATGAGTAGCTGTGGGGAAAGAAAAGACTTTCCATTTTCTTACTTCCATGAGAAAGAACAAAACAAGTGACAGTTACAGTAATTACCGCGCGACAAGGAAGGACCACTCCAAAGGGGAGCCAAGTGTTAAGGAGGTACAGTGTTCCTCCCTGGGAACTGAGGACTCCGCTCAAGAACAATGCTGTTGTTTGTGACCGGTGATGAAAATTGGCTCAGTAGTCGAGAGCCCCGCTTTAGGAGACTGTGGCGCCCATTCAGATCTTCTTTTCTGCTCCACTATCTTTGTAAGAAAACACTGGATATGTGACCTTGTTTGTCCTCTGTCTGATTTCTATGGATAAGCAGAATTCAAATTCCCCCCGATCGGAAGCACAGGCTGTTCCTTGGCTTAACAAAAGTCTTCCCATGAAGTACGCCAAACTGTTTTATTGCCTTGTAACCTTGAGCTCAGAAGCTTGTTGCCTCATTCGCGGCGACATCTTCCCACACGTGTGTGTGTGTGTGTGTGTGTGTGTGTGTGTGTGTGTGTGTGTGTGTGTGTGTGTGTGTTTACGAATAAATTGCTATTGAAGAAGGAAGAGTTGAGGAGATTAAAGATACGGGGAAGTGTTTTGTCCGGATGTTAATTTTGTGTGTGTGTGTGTGTTTGTGTGTGTGTTTGTGTGTGTGTGTGTGTGTGTGTGTGTGTGTGTGTGTGTGTGTGTGTGTGTGTGTGTGAATTAAGGCCCCTACATAATAATAATTACAACTTTTTTTCTCAACTTTCCAGATCTTTGTGTAAATCATTTTTTAACAATCAAGTTTATTTGTTTTTTTCAACACATTTGCAGTGCTCTCTAGAATAAATGAATGCCTTCTGAGTCGATCTCTTTAGGGAAAAATGCTCTGGCGCTCCTGTTTCAGGAACTAGATGTGAGCTGGAAGAGTCTTACTTCCTGATATTTGGACACCTCGCCTCTGATTGTCTAACAGCAATGTGGCTCTATCACCGACTGTTAGCTTTGCAATGTTGATGTTTTATCTTCACAACTGACAGAAGCCGAAAGAGTTCTGCCATGTGGTGGAGTTGCTAATGCTAATGGTTAGCTTCCACTTGTCGAGATGCACTCTGCTCTTTCCTGAATGCTAAACCAACAACAGCAAGCCGAGGTGTGTAAATCCATGAATCCTATTTTATTGTGCAAGTCCTCATTGACTCCCATGTTAAAAATACCAATTTCACAGCAGAAATAAACAAGTTTACAGCCTGGTTCCAAAACATGTTTTTGGTTTAAATTATCTAGTTTACACTCATGACAACTCTGAGGGGGGTGAATTTTATTCTCACTCTTCTGTTTAAGTGTATTAAAAGCCTAAAATTCTGTACAATTAATGAGCATCAGACCCACGTGACCACAGAGCTAGCGCCGTGGAAAGGCCTCAGTCTGAGCCTCGGCCTCGCCTGAAAACTGTTCGGTCATTTTCATTCTCTCAACTTAGACCATTAGTTGTAGCATTTGTGCTTTCTTTTTGGATATTATTTGTGCAATTGTTGGACAAAATGACTTGATGTGGCATTAATTGCACTAATAGCGCATCCAAGGAGTCTCCTTGCAGCTCGGCGCATCTCTGTCTGATCGAGGCTTCTGTCTGCTGCGTGGGCTTGTGGAGCTCTGGGATGGAAACCTTTCCACCTGGTTCTCCCCAGCGGCAGCTCTGCGCATCTCAGATAGCAGCGGCGCTTGTCTGCTGTGCGGCTGCCGGCTTGTGGAGCTCTCAGGAGACCTCTGTGTTCCACCCGGTTTTACCCAGCGGTCAGCCCGGCGTATCTCTGTCTCAGAAGCTCTGGTGTTGTGCACAGTTAACCGGTTGTAGCTAGGTTGCTACCTCCGTTAGCTTAAATCCCACCTCTGCGTTAGCTTTGGGTTAGCTTCAGGTTAGCTTGTAGCTAGTTCGACCGGGTGTCGTCAGTTGATCCCAGCCTCACAGCCCCATCCTCAGCTCCACCTCTCTTCCCATTTGTGGAATTGTCTGGGCTTGACGGAACCTGTGACACGGTCAAAATGGCAGTGGTGGCCACCTCCCATTTTTCTTCAAAAACGTGTTATTGGAGTCTATGAAAACCCATTGTCCAATATTTATATGTCGATGGCGCCCACTGGTCAGCGCAGAGATATAATCCCTCCAGTGTGTCCTTGGTCAACCCGGGAGCCTACTGCCAGCAGGACATCTCTCCTAGAAGGTATCCAGGAGGCTTTTTGACTAAATTCTGGAAGCAACTCAGCTGCCTCTACTGCGAGATGCTCCCGTATGTCAGAGCTCCCTGCCCTACCTCTAAAGCTGGGAATAAACTTGCTTTTTAACTTCACGTTGACGCAGGCTGTTCACATACTTGCTGCTACACTGCACGTAGTACAGGAGTATTCCACTAGGGGCACAGTAGAGAACTCAGGCTGTACCCTACAAACCCAGGACCAAGGCTGGATTATAATATGGGCAAACTGGGCACAGGCCCAGGGGCCCACAGCCACAAGGGGGCCCACGCGAGCAGAGTCTTTTTTTTTTTTTGCAGCAGTCTTAACGTTGGAGAAAAAAAGTTGACAAGTAATAAAAATTGCGCCCACATTTTCAAAGTTAACACACATTCCTTCTAACAACGGTGGTTTTTGCATCTTTACTGTTCCTTGCTTCAGCCCTCTCCCCCCTCCCCCTGCACAACGGCTGCAAACTCACTGATGCGCCTGCAGCCTCTCAGAGTTCCTGCTGTTCTAAACATTAAATTATTTCATTTTCTGTTCCTCACTTGTGATTACCTTCGCTGGTGTATGTTTGTTGCAACCACCAGATACAAAAACAAACTTGTTTTTATTTGACTATTTTTCTGTCCTGTCTCTGTTTATTATCATCCTGCATCTCCTCTCAGTCCTGAAGAAAAACTGCTACCTGGCTTCATATTTTTTTCACCTTATGAATTACCTTTGAAGTAAAGTTCAAAATGATCTACCGACCACAAAAACAGCGGTCAGTGAGGTGGTCAACGGAGGACAAAACAGGTGATGCGCTCCACTCCACAGCAGCAAAACACATCAGGAACAAATAAAAAGACATAAAGCATAAAAGAATATGAGCCGACATAAATGATTGCATGTTAACTTAGTTTTTGAGGTGGCGACACTTAGATAATGTTACTTTGACCGTGCTCAGGACGTATCTGTCCGGAGCACAACAATCAGAGCTCTGCACCTCTCAGCTCTAAATAATAATCAGAGTCCACATAGACAATGTAATAAAAGTAGAACCAGGATCGTTTCCAGGCTAAAAAATAGTCTACAGTCCATCTTCCCTAATGTATTAGTGACCCTGCATTTTTTTCTAACTCAACCAAATTGTGAAGGGGAACGATCATTTTCACAAATGGCAAGAATAAAAAATGAACTGAGAACAACACAAACTCAACAGCCCCTCAGTGCACTGTCACTGATGGCTATTTAATCTCAGCTTGTCAGGAATCTGGAATTTGATGACACTGTAAATGAATTTACTATTAGAAAGGCCAGAAAGCAGTTTTTCTGAAGGCAAGAGAGGAGGCCAACAAGAGGGGAAAAAGAGGACAAAGGAGCCCGGAGTCAAGAGGAGGAAGGTGACAGGAGACAAAGGGAGGAAGGAGACAGGAGAAAAGAGGAGGAAGGAGCCAAGAGTCAAGACGAGGAAGGAGACAGGAGAAGAGAGGAAGAAGGAGACAGGAGACAAGATGAGGAAGGAGACAGGAGACAAGCGGAGGAAGGAAACTGGAGACAAGAGTAAGAAGGAGACAGGAGACAAGATGAAGAAGAAGACAGGAGACAAGAGGAAAAAGGAGACAGGAGACAAGAGGAGGAAGGAGACAGGAGACAAGATGAGGAAGGAGACAGGAGACAAGATGAGGAAGGAGTCAGGAGACAAGACAATGAAGGAGACAGGAGACAAGAGGAAGAAGGAGAAAGGAGACAAGAGGAAGAAGGAGACAGGAGCCAATAGGAGGAAGGAGACAGGAGACAAGAGGAAGAAGGAGACAAGATTAGGAAGGAGACAGAAGACAAGATGAGGAAGGAGACAGGAGACAAGAGGAGGAAAAAGACAGGAGACAAGAGGAAGAAGGAAACAGGAGACAAGATGAGGAAGGAGACAGGAGACAAACAAAAAACATGCTGATTTAATCTTTTAAATAATTCTGCATTACTTTCTGTTGTAGTTGGACAGTGGGATCTCTTTTACAGCAGACTCACTCACCCCCACTGTCCACAGATTGACAATATTTTTGTTAGTACAGACAGAAGAGAAGACAGGGGGGCCCTAAGCACATTGTGCCCAGGGGCCCCTGCAATGATAATCCGGCCCTGCCCAGGACACTATTTGATCTAACGTGGCACCAATAGAAGAGATCAGTGACTGGTTAAGTTTGAGATCACGACAAAAAAACTGCAGTGATTGTATGAAAGATGTCTAAACCAGAGATGGCGTGACAATGACGAGCATGTTTTGCTTTTTTGTCAACTCCTCCTACTGGTTACTTGTTTATTGCAAACATGTTGTGTTAATTCCAGAGGACATGCACAAACATCTAAAACCACTTGGCCAACAACAATACTAGGGACAATATGGCGGAGTTACGCAGTGGAGAAATAAAAGTATTAAAAGATTCACCAGCAAGTCCTAAAGTTTGGACTCACTTTGCAGTAATTGTGTGGATGGAACAAAGCTGGATGAAGACTATGCAGAGTGCAAGAACAGCCTCACAAAGGTACGCTACGAACATTCACAGAAAATGCTGTAACTGTTAGCTCGCCTGCACAGTCCGCTGTAACCTTTTTTCAGCAAAGCTCCCTTTTAATTCTACTGAAGCTCCGTTGATAACACATACCATACCATGCCATACCATACCATACCATACCATACCATACCATACCATAGTTTATTTATATAGCACATTTAAAACGTAGCATGGGAGCTGCCCAAAGTGCTGCACAGGCTAAACCAAAACACAGCCAATCTAAGCAACTAAAACAGAAGATAAAAATACCAATCAAAAGCAGATAAAACATGAGGAATACTAAGAACACAATAAAACACTAAAACGAGTCACTGTCTAAAAGCCACATCGTAGAAATGGGTCTTTAAATGAGATTTAAAAACCGCCAATAATGGAGCCTGCCGAACTATAATGGGTAACGAGTTCTACAGCTTTGGGGTAGCATGTTCAAATGCTCGTTCACCCCGTGATTTGTATTGCATCCGGGGCTTGCACAGCGGCAGGAGGTCAGCCGACCTTAACGTGCACATGGGTACATAGGGAGTGAGCAGGTCTGAGAGATAGGGAGGTGCCAGGTCTTTGATTGCTTTAAATACAAAAGTCAATAACTTAAACTGTTCTCAGAAAATGACAGGGAGCCAGTGAAGATGTTCCAGGACAGGGGTAATAAGGCTACGTCGGTGCGTATTTGTCAAGAACCTGGCAGCAGCGTTCAGTCCAGTCCAGAGGTAATGAAAGCATGGATGACTGACATGCCATCTCCGTGTACATCTGTGAAACAATTTATGCTTCTGCGTCGGTATAAAGACACGCAACGCCATTATCAGACGGGCAGAGTCGAGCCCAAATCTCTAAACATTCATCGACTGAGATGGAGAACGCAAGCTTGGTCAGGACGCCACTTTCGTTAACAGCACCACCGTTGTGCTCTCAAATATATAAAGAAAGCCGAAGATATTTAGCGGCAGACCCCAAATGGCTCTCTGCCATTGCATGCATGTCTATCCCTTGTGGAGCTGATGCAGAAGCATAAACGAGGCGTTATTCTCTTTGCCGAACAGCACTGTTGAGAATGACAGGCTTTGCTTTATGATGTGCATCCTTGAACCCAGAAATATCAGACCATGCCTCAGACATTTAACACCTCCTGCCACGTACAAATACACCAGGGCTAAAATGGTAAATGGTCTGTATTTGATATAGCACCTTCTAAAGTCATGGAACCCCCCAAGGTGCTTTACAACACAATCAGTCATTCACACATTCACACACTGGTGGGGATGAGCTACGATGTAGCTACACCTGCCCTGAGGAAATTGACAGAGGCAAGGCTGCTGAGCACTGGCGCCACTGGTCCCTCCGACCACCACCAGCAGGCAAGGTGGGTTAAGTGTCTTGCCCAAGGACATAACAACAGGGACAGACTGAGCGGGGCTTGAACCTGCAACCTTCCAATAAAGTGGTGAACACTTAACTCCTGTGCCACTGTCGCCCCACAAAGCAGAGGACTCATGGCTGTCTGCGGAAAGAAACATTATTTTATGGTTTCTTTACCGCAGAAGCATCTGCCTGCAGCTCATTATTTTACACACTTAACCTCAACATATTTTTATTTTAATAGAAATGAATTTATTACTGCTCTATGTTGCACAGAAATTGTGTCACTGTAAGGCACTCAAACTTTTGTATACATGGCCTTTAACTGTAAGACACTTAAACGTGTTTAACTTTGATACTGTTAGACACTGTATTTTAATAATTTCAGGGCATAATAAAGGTTATACATGTTGTAGGTCGTACTAATAT